CTTACAGAACAAAATAGTTTCTCATTTAACAGTTACTACACATGTTGCCCTATGACAATGGTTAACAATCTCACAACACATCAACAATACCCTTACTCAACCTCATATGGTTTTTAGTTGGTTATAGGTAGATAAATGTAGATGTTTTTCTGATTATAGCCTTTTACATGTCAGAATCCAGTCTTAAGAAATGTTAGTTATCATTTTTATTTTTAATTTTTTCAAAAGCATTTTAAGAAACAAAAGAGGTTAATTCCTGAAAGAACTGTTTGGAAGTACTTTGTTCAGCTCTGCAGTGCGTTGGAACATATGCATTCTCGACGAGTCATGCATAGGGGTAAGACGCAATCATGAATAACTTTTAATATTGTCTTAAATGATGCAAGTTACTATACAATTTAAGAATAAATGCATAGTACCTTTGCATAGTATCATGCTTTCTCAGATAATTTATTTCTAAATTGTGATTTTACTGGAATGGTAAACCTTTGAATAAAGTCCTACTTGGCTTTAAATAAGAATGAAAATTAGTCATTTTTCTGATTGAGTGTTCTGAGTACCTTACTGGTTATGTTGGTAAAGAAAAATAAAGTAGATGCAGGAAAGCAGTTGAATATACATAAGGAAGAGGTTTTTGTTTTTGTTTTTGTTTTTATGGGCCCACCTCCCCCAAATGAACAATGTATATTTGGACCACTTACATTTTTAATCTTCAGCATTAGCTCTTCATATATTCTTGATTATCAGTCAGACGTTAAGGTTACATCACTAAGGAATTACTCCACTGATATTGGGGTGCGGAAAATTTCAGTATAGGTTATTTAAGCAATTCAGATTTCTAGAGTCATCTAAATAAATTATTATATACTTCATAGCATTAAGTTGTGATTTTATGTTTTATGTAAATATACCAATAGATTAATTCTTAGTAAGATGTTTTATTTAAAATTAATATAAAAAGGACAGAAATTTATTTTGTGCTTTGGATTTCACAGAAGGTTACCTGAAAATGGAAAATGCCTTTTAAATGAAAGTTAATCGCAGTCTTCATCATGCTGCTTCCTCATCTGTCTATTAGAGGGCTGAGAACTCAGAAATACTAGAATATATTAGTATTATTGAAAATGGTTGGTTCAAAATGCAAACTTACTTTCATTTTAAGGTACATTTTAAATTATACCATGAAGTGTGGTCGTTAGTCCTTTTATAAAATGCGTAAAGTTCTGTCATGTTTCACCTGGTCTCTTCATTTGTTCACAGATATAAAACCAGCTAATGTGTTCATTACAGCCACTGGAGTGGTGAAACTTGGAGACCTGGGACTCGGCCGGTTTTTCAGCTCCAAGACCACAGCTGCACATTCTTTAGGTAAGAGACACGGTATCGTTTCATTCAGGTTTTTGTTTGTTTGTTTGTTTTTGTGGTTAAATAGATAAGGGATGTCTGAGTTATATGACTGTTTTTATATTCTAAATAAAACATAAATCCTGAGCAGATACCTACAGCTCCCCATTGGATATAATGTATCCATTTCACATGACATTTGGATACTTCTGTTAGCAGACCTCAGGCAGGCACTTAGTTAAAAAGAAAAATGCTGATGAACAAACCCGGTCTTAACTATTGCTAAGGATCATTGTTTTTATTATACATTTGATAAAGCATGATTTTTATTATACATTTAAGATAACATGATGAATAAACAATTTCTTGGAAGAAGACTTCACCTGACCATTTAAAAATATTATAGTAGTTTATTCATTGTAAGAATGTATATAACTGTGATTACTGTGGAGGAGAAAGACCAAACGATGGTCTGTGGTTAGTGAGGGAATATTTACCCTAAGTTACAGAGTAAAAAAATTCTCGTTGTTGTGTGCCGTTGAGTCCATTCCAACTCACAGTGACCCTATAAGACAGAGTAGAACTGCCCATAAGGTTTCCAAGGAGTGGCTGGTGGATTCAAACTGCCAGCCTTTTGGTTAGCAGCCTGAGCTCTTAACCACTTTGCCATCATATCGGTAGTATATTCATTCTAGAGCAAATAATACAAGGCTGTCCTTTGTATCTAAAATGGAATTGAATGTAGCTACTAAACATTATATTAACAATAGAATAAAAGTTGCCTAGTTTAGGAACAATAGAAATTACTAGGAAGAAATAATTTTTTTTAGTTGAGTGACTCAAATTATAGTGATAGCACTTCTAAAATTTTTCAAATCGTATTTTCTTCTATAAATATAATATTTGCATAAAATGGTGACAATCAGGATAAACTGAGAATTAAGGTAAAAATAAATTGCCTTTAACTTAGTGGTGCCCCATCTTTGATCATAGTTGATGTCGTAATTTCATTGAAAGCCAGTGAAATTCAGATAAAATTATGTTTTTAAAGATGAAATAAAAACTTTTAAGTGGCCTGATGAGGAATAGGCAAGTTCTACTAAATAACAGAGTAGTGAAAAGAGCATCTGAATTAGTTGTCTAGGATTTTTTTTTTTCTTTTTTTTTTTTTAAATGTTCTGGCTTTGTTGCTAAGGTTCTGTGTGGCCTTGAACCATTCATTTAATTTTTCTATGTCTAAAACAGTGCCTGGCACATAAGTAGGTACCCAATCAATCTTTGCTGAATAGCAAAATAATGGATTCTAGTTTAAAGAACGGTGGAAAGATAATGCTTTTCAGGGTTTCAATTTCGTCAGGTACTTAGAGAATATAAAATTTCATACTGATGGCAAATACATCGTTTTTTGTTTTTCTCTGTAGAAGAAGATTCGATATGAGATTCCATAAGAACCAATAATGTATAAATTTAAGTAGCACTTTAATAAAGCTTTATTTGGGAAGTTGCAACTCTTACAGTGAAAACAGTGGAGGAATTCTATGAAGAAAAGCATAGACTGTTCCAAGCCAGTGGCAGTTATCACTAGTAAAGATAACACGTCTCCAGTTTATGTTAATCACTTGAATGGACTGTCTTACCAGCGTTCTGTCATTAATGTACTTAGGATTGCTAGGTTACGATTATACACGCACGCGCGCACACCTGCGCATACACAAGCGCACGTGCCCATGCCCAAACGTGTATTGTTTAAATGCTGCTTTGCACACTCACTTGAAGCCCTGAGGATCAAGCATATTATTTGAAACTTGTACCTTGATAGTTTTCGAAATAGACACTGGCTTCCTCACACTGCTCTCACCTCCTCTCACTAAGTTTTAAATAGGGTTTATAGACACATATGCATCTCCAAATGTGGGTGATGTGTTAGCCCAAAACATGTGATATAGAGAGTAAAGTTAATAGGTCAGTTTCATTAAGAATTTCTAATATTAGATTTTATGAAAATCAGTTTACTTAGGGCTGTATAGTTATAAGTAGTACGTGGTGATGCCTGTAATTACCGTGCATTCTAAGACACACCTAAGTACAGTCAGTGAGGAAGTAGAAATGAGACTGTTTCTTTGATGGATGATGAATCAATAGACTTTCACAAATCTATTTTGTTTTCCATATTATATTGAGGAGAAAAAACTGAAAAAAAAAAAATTTTTGTTATCCTTGTTTATCTTCTCTGTGAAGATTTTTATGGTTTGAAACTAAACTTCTCTAAAGCAAAGTGCATTAAACACAAAGGATTCAAGTTTGAACTCTAGCCTACTGAGGCTATTTGGACCATTAAAAATCTTACTGAGAAGGGTCAGAAAAAAAATAACAAGGATAGAAATCTGGACACAGACTTATTTTTGTTGCCAAGTTGACCCTAATGTTCATTGTTAGAGAATTATTACCCATCTGAGTTATTATCATATATTTTTATTTTTAAGAGCACATTTTAAAGACTGCTTCTAAGAGTTGGTTCTGAGAACATAGCTACTTGTACAAATATATTTTGTTTACAGAAAATAAAACCTACAGAACTGTAGGTTTTATTGTATGTTGATTTGTTTTCTCTTCTTGCTGAGGATAAAATCTGTAAGACATGATTTATCTATAGAGCAAGTCTAAATTTTCTCGAAACTACAATTGAGATGTGTTAGGTCTTTGTAGTTCATAAAGAAAAATCAGAATAAATTTATAGTAAATGAAGTCTGTCCTACAACCAAATTTCATTTAAGTTTGTAAAGGAGATATTTTCAGAAATTTAATTCAAAAGGCAAAAAGATACTTAGATTTTAGTAACATCTGGTTATGTTTATGCGTTTATTCTTCATTTGTTTTTTTCCAAAATACATTTTGTTAATAAACATACTATTTTAGCGTATTTTGATTCACTAACTAGGAATAAGCACTTTCAAAAGTTTTTGTATTTCGCAATCCAGGTAAGATTGACAAGTCTTTGAGTTTGTCAGTTGCCTGTTCATTTTACATCTCTTATTTGTATCATTTGATTCCATGATAACAAATCAACATGTAATAAAGCATGTAGTTCTATCATATTTTCCATAAGCAAAATAAAGTTGTATAGGTGGCCACATTGTGAATCAATTTTCAGAACTAATTTTTAGAAGCAGTCTCAAAACTTGCTCTTAAAAGTAAAAATATATGAAAACAATATAGAATGGTAATAATTCGTTGAATGCAAGGGTTAAAAATTACATACACTAAATGTAATGTTGCTAAATGTTCAGACCATGTTAGAATCTTCGAAATTGAAGGAAAAAAGAACGTCAGAGAGCTCCACTTTTTTTTTTCTACTCTCTTCCTGCCCCCACCACATATATTGTCTCACAATAACTTTACTTTCTATTCACTCTTCCATAATTCATAATTACTTCATGTTTAGACTAGGAAAATATTCTCCTCTGTTTCTCATATTATTCTTTTCTAATTCATTCCATATGTTTCTACCAGAATTATCTTCAAAACAGACATTATCTGCTTATGATACTTTCCTCAGAAATCTTTTATGGTTCTCTGTTGCCTAAAGAATATCACCCAAAGTCCTTGGCCTTCAGGGCCCTCTAGTGTTTGGTGCCCCTCTAGCTTTGTGATCTCATCATTGACTCCACCTCCCCACCTCATGGTGTGCTTGCATCTTTTTCTTCTTTGATGTTCTGAACATGAGAAATAGTGTGATGTGGTGGAGAGAGTAGAGGACCCCTAAATTTGCACTCCCATTGCTGTATAGGACCTGATCAAGCCATTTCTTAACTTTTCTAAGGCTCAGGTTCTGCATTGATAAAAATGGGAATGTAAGTAATAACCATCCTATGTTGTCCCCTAACTACTAACCAATCCCTTGTTCAAATCCACCAGCCGCTCTTTGGAAACCCTATGAGGCAGTTCTACCCTGTCCTATAGGGTCTCTGTGAGTCAGAATCGACTCGACGGCAATAGGTAACCAAATAATGTAATAAATAATGTTTTCTGAGCACTGCAATACACTATATAAATGTTAAGTGTTTATGTGAAGAAGATGATGTTGTGGTGGTGGTGATGATGCAGAAAAAGAAAAGGGGAAGAAGAGAAGGAGTTCTTTATGTAACTGGTATGTAATCTGTTTGCTCTTTAAAAACACCTGAATTAATTCAGTCAAGAAATAGTTTTAGTACCAGTATTGTGCAGGTACTATTCTAAACCCTGCCAAAAAAACCAAATCCATTGCTGTCGAGTCAATTCCAACTCATAGCGACCCTGTAGGACAGAGAAGAACTGCCCTATAGGGTTTCCAAGGAGCAGCTGGTGAATTTGAACTGCCAGCCTTTTGGTTAGCAGCTGCGCTCTTAACCACTGTGCCGCCAGGGCTCCAGGTACTATTCTTGTTGTTGTTGTTAGGTGCTGTTGAGTCAGTTCTGACTCATAGTGACCCTGTTTACTGCAGAACAAAACACTGCCTTGTCCTGCGCCATCCTCATAATCGTCGTTATGCTTGAGCCCATTATTGTAGCCACTGTACTGTTTTGCTGACCCTGTACTTTACCAAGCACGATGTCCTCCTCCAGGGACTGATCCCTCCTGATAACATGTCCAAAGTATATAAGATGTAGTCTGGTCATCGTTGCTTCTAAGGAGCATTCTGGTTGTACTTCTTCCAAGACAGATTGGTTCGTTCTTTAATTCTAGGGACCAGGAATGTAGCCTAAACAATGTAAACCTTTGCCTTCAAAGGTGGGAGGAAATAGATAATTTAAAAGTAAACAAAGAAATAAGAGGATTTCTGTCAGTGATATGAAAGAGAGTGACTGAGGAGCAGGGAATACTTTAGAAGGGGCGTGGTCAGGGAAGGCCTCTCTGAGGAGGTGACTTTTGAACTGAGATTCAAAGGATGGGAAAAAGCCAGTTGTAAAGGATCCAGAGGAGTACTGTCTCAGGCTGACTGAAGGCAGCATATATAAAGGGGCAGATGCAGGATAAGGTCTGCCTGG